GTACTTGATTTAAAAAAATAATAATAAAGGGTTATTATTAGTACACATATTTAATGATACACAGAAATTACTCCATGACTTTGTCTCTAAAACACTGCCCTCACTGCCTGTCTAAAACTACACTGATATCAGTAAGTACATTTAAATGCACAATAATACGAGTTTTGAAACTGTTTTTCATGATAAATTGCAGGCATGTATGCCACACATGCACACAATGAAGGTAATTGGCAGAAATGGGCGTTATTTATTTATTTATTGGTGTGAGCAATATATATATTGCTCACACCAAGAAATAAATAAATAAATAACGCACATTTTTGCCAATTACCTCCATTATATATATATATATATATATATATATATATATATATATATATATATATATATATATTGGTTACCTTATAACCAATACATTTTTTAAGGCATTTACCTTACACAATGTCGATTATAAAGCATAATAATGTAAGATTTTTTTAAAGTAATTTAAAGTCTATTAAATGGAAGTAGTGATAGTCATAGTGTGACATATTCGAGGGAAACGGCTTCTCAAACTAGAAAAAATGTTGGGCGGAACTTAATTTTGTCCTCCGGGAATTGATTGGATTGTTGTCGATTGCCATTGCTTTGCAATCTCATGTGAGTGCCAAGGTTGTCCCATCCTTGCGCCAAAAACACTTCATCAGAGAAGAGATGTCGCTGGTGGGAGGGGGAATTTATTTTGATTAAAGATTAGGAGGGCATATAATTGGTTAATTTAGATTTCATGGTGACTTTAAGAAATGCTGCATTTGGCATATCCAGATTTCAAAATATGCAATATTCATTTTGGCGTTGATAGTGCTTCCATTGAAACTCAGGGTTCCATCTCTTCCAAATGACAGTAGTTATGGTGTGAACGAAGCATAAGTTTGTTGTTTTGGTTCAGGAGGAACTGTAAAAGGTGGCTGCTGTTTCTTTTGCAGTGCAAGGTGACTGACATCTGTCTAGTGTCGAATTCTGCATGAAACGCGCTGATGACTCATGATGTCTGCGCGAGCAGGGTGCGTGCGTGAAGGTATGAAAATACAGGGCAAATTCCAAGCAGAAGTGACCATCCCTATGCCCTACTAACTCTTAAGACCAAAGCCCTTAAAGTGGGGACTTTGGAGGGAGTATGACACTTGTGTGTCATAATGAAGCCATTTAATGCTCTTGGCAAAGGGAGCAATGAAAGACCACGTAATTTCCTCAGTAACTTCACATGGAATGTTAGCACAACAACGCTACACAGTGACAAAAGGAATATCTTATTATTGGTGTTAATATGAAACAAATTAATGTAAATTTGTAATTAAGTTTTTAAAATATGCTTTAAATGTGTGTTCACTATCTGCTCTTAACTTTATAAATAAAGCATCAAACACATAAATCATTAAACAATTCTTATCTATGAAACCTTGATATGAAATACATGACAAAACAAAAATGTGTGTAATACTGTATATCACAACAGAACAAAAGGACTTGTCACCCTGGGCCACATGACCATAAACTATTAAAATACTTCCTTAAAGTGACCATGGCATTGTTCCCTTCGCTAACAGGACGTGAAGAGACTTTCAACCAGCATAACAAAAATGTTTCTGGAACAAATCACCTACCCTGCCTCTAACGCATTCATTTTGACAGCACTAATATATTAGTCAAGTGATTATGGTTTTGATCAGTACTGAGTACTTTAGTACTCAGGTTTTCATGCCCATCCCTAATGTAAATTAAGGAGAGTATCAGTATGCTAAACAAACTACTTTTGTGAGGAAAAATGTATTGACAGCCTGTTTGCTTATCTTCAATGTTTTTTTAATTAGTTAATTTGGAGTAAGCTATTTTGCAGCTATATAGTATGACAACAACAACAACTATTTTTTTTATAAGATAAGTCACAGACATTTCAATATTAAACTTATTCATTTCAATGGTGTCCGCAAACATTAAGTGACTGATCATGTGTGCCTCTTAGAGAAAGCATAATGGTCAATTATAACTTTTTCTAATGGTAAAGCAATCTGGTAAAAAATTATTTGCTTGTAAAATTCCGTGAAAGATTTGTTTTGGTGGTTCCAAAATAATTTCTTTAAAAATGCTGAGCATTACATTAATGTTCCAGATGTTTATAGGTGTTTTGTTGTCCTTAAAGCTCTGTTCTGCATCAATTTCAAAGCACTTTCTTGAATGACAGCCAAATGTTTTGGCAGCCACCAAAGATTTATTTTATAATTTAATGTGACAATACCTGCCGTTCTGCATTACTGTCTGATAGCCGGCTGCTTTAAAATGCTTGCGTGACTGTTTGTGTATGTGCTCTGTGAAGAGCGTTAAATGTTTCTATTTACAGCGTGTTTTTGCAGCATTGTGTTTAAAGCTGCTGTAGGTAACTTTTGAAAAAATGTATTTGCTAAAACTGTCATTATGTCCTGACAGTAGAATATGAGACAGATAATCTGTGTAAAAATCAAGCTCCTCTGGCTCCTCCCAGTGGTCCTATTGCCATTTGCAAGAAATACACGCTCCCGGTCAGAAACAACCAATCAGAGCCAGGAGGAATGTCTTAGCAGTGTCAATCACGCTCGTGTACGCGCTGATCACACCCTTCTCTTGCACAGTGCGTCGCGCGAGCCGTCGTTCAAACTCAAGATTGCCGGCGTGCTGCAGCTGTGCTTATGACGGAGAAACAACCTAAACTGCCAATTCTCGAGTGACACCTGCTCATAAAACAAAGAGGTCAAAGGAAAAAGACTGATGACGATAAACAAGCGAAAAAGAAAGAATTACACAGAGCCCATTGACTCGGTGTCAAAACTCTAGCCGCATAACATGTAGATAAAATGTCACGCACTCTGCTAAGCAACAATTGAAACCTGCTAATTCACTGGCTTGTCATGTTGCTGAATAATGTACTAGCACACCTTATCTAGCATTATATATCGCTAGAATAATTACTTACATACTGTGATGTTAGTTACCGTTATATTAACGTTATCTTACTAGCTATTTATAACTTATAGAAAGAGTGCAACGTTATAAAGTTACATGTAGGCTATTGGAAAATACATAATGATTTGAGGACCAAGTTTGTAGTCAAATTATGGGCAGGCCATCGTCAATGTAAAGCATATTGTTGACATTTAGTCCCTATTAGTGAATGTGCCATATAACTTTTTATCCGCTGTTATCGGTGGCCCTGTTTACTAGCCTGCGCGTTCACGACAGGCTCCGCTGTGGAGGGAGAGCTGTGGAGGGAGGGCTGTAGCGCAGCAGAGAGCAAGGGGGTGGGACCTGTAAGTTGTGCTTGTTCAAATTTTCAGGCTAAGTCAACGTTTTCTCAAAACTCCCTACTGCAGCTTTAAGTTAGTCAGAATCCGCTCAACACTGTTTAAGACGGTGCAGCTGAGTACTGCACACTCGTGAATCCTATTATTATAACCAACAAAGTATAAGCAAAATGTCAATATAAGATTCATTGCACAGCGTAGACAGCTTCATTGATTATAACGAGAGTTTTGGCAAGAGTGCAGCTTTGTGTACCTCGCGTTGAACTTAAGTAATTGACAGCTTCATTGATTAATGGCAGCGATATTTTGCTCACATCAAAGTGTCTGAATTGACAACCTATGTAAATGCGCGATTGAATCCGATTGACAGTGATAACCATAGCAATGGGCAGAACAAAATCTGTGCATCAATTATTGGTGTAAATGCAAAATAATAGACTTTTTCTATGTAATGTGTTCCGTTGTTGTTCATTTTATTACTAACTTTTCAAATCAGTCACTAAGTGACTTTTTACATATAAATTTACAGAATTTTAAATATAACAGTTCTCAGCACTTTGTTATATGATCTGTCCTGACAGTGTTTATTTTTTATTTCATGAATAAATAGGATAAGTTAATATTACAAGCGGTTTCTTTGCAATTATTTTTGATTTATTGTCAGTACTGGGCTCACAGTTCACATAGGTAGGGTACTTTTTATTGTGTGTGTGTGTGGATGACTGTGGTCGTCCGCCACCACCGAAGATCATGTTTGACCCAGGGAAAACCCTGATAGAGCTTTAGTCTATCTTAAACACAACCAAATTGTACATGTTTTCCATCACTTGTTGCCTTTAACAACATCATAATGGTGCTTCATTAAGTGTTCTTTACAATAGAAATGAATTAATGCTGAACTTACTTAAACTGGACAATGCCTTTCTTCTAGATCTGCTGTACAGCTAAAACAATCTTTGTTACCTTAATTTCCTGTTATCACTGTAAAGCTGCTTTGAAACCATCTGTATTGTAAAAAGCACCTTACAAATAAAGGTGACTTGACTTGACTTGATTTTGTTTAAAACAAAGAAAAAAATTATTCAATCAATCGTCAAAAGACAGGAAAACTAAAGGGCATTAACAAAAAGTGGTACTATTGTCTGTTTAATTGACCATTTTTGATGGAAAGAGAGAAATAAACTTGTGATATTACAAATGTTATAAAAAAAAAGAGTAAACAGGCAAGGGCAGTGTGATGTTTGAAGGAACAAAAGAGTAACGGATGGCTAGTGAGTTTGTCAAGCTCTGTGGTGTTTTTGTAAAGCTTGCTGCCCCACTTCAATCTTGGATGTCTGCTATTCAGAAAGGCATTTTTTTTACACTAGTTCATAGGTTAAAACAGCAGGCTAATTTTAACAGCATAAAATTATATTTTGCTGCTGCCAAAATATATTTCTTATATTTGTATGGTATATGAAAAGAATAAAGATATAACTAGATTTAATAATAATATGGATGTTCTGTTCTTTCACATTTTTAGAATAAACATTTTGTATCAAAAACACAAATTCAGTAACCATACTTTGATAAAATAATGAAAACAGATCTTTTGATGAGCTATCCAAGGATAGTCTGGTGCTGAATCATAGTATGTCACCATCATAATAATAATCTTATAGAATATGTTGTAACGGCAGTACTGACCTTTGCAGACCAGGCCCTCTTTCGTCAAAGCCTGCTTGCATACTGCACAACTCTTTGCCTTTTTGAAGGTCTTAGCCTTGAAGGTGTGGGAATGGACATCCTCAAAGTCTTCTGGCTAAAGGGGGGAGAGAGAGAGAGAGAGAGAGAGAGAGAGAGAGAGAGAGAGAGAGAGAGAGAGAGAGAGAGAGAGAGAGAGAGAGAGAGAGAGAGAGAGAGAGAGAGAGAGAGAGAGAATGCATTCAATAAGCTGAACAAGGTTAATCAGAGTAATTAAATTTTTAGACCATATATCTCTTTTTTATGGTAGTGATATTTTTAAGCCTCACACAAATTTCACAGCTAATTTTAAGTGATGGCAGATCCTGTACAGTTTTATTGATAGAAGGACAGAAAGGAAGTCAACATTACAGTTACACACTCAAACACACTACACATGTATTAAGTCACTGTACCGCAAAGCCATTTTGTCAAGGTAATGAAAAGTATGATCCTCAGCATTTTCAGCTGTACTATCTCCCTAAATCTTAATGCCTTTTTGTCACACATTGACAAGACCATTCAAGCTCAGGACTGCAAAGCCTGGCATCAGTGACCTTGGCTGTAGAAAGCCAGAGAGAAGGGTGGACAATCATTGGACATTTACTAAAACAATTCTATTAAACCATTAAGACCATTACGGTAAGTACAGCATTCACTCAGAATGGGAATGATTTGTGTTTAACAGTGACCTTGACGAGAGGCATGTGCATTTATATGCATCAAGACTTCACATCAATAAAAAAAATCTTAATAATTAGAGTGTCATAAATAAAAAGAATGTAAAACATGTCATACATAATGAAAATAAATAAAGAAAGAAAGAAAGAAAGAAAGAAAGAAAGAAACCAAACACGTATGGAGAACATGATCAAACAAGCCAGATTCACAAAAAACAGATCCTATGTATGCTGTGCATACAGTTGTTTTAGTATCAAACAGGTCAAGTAGTTATTATGGGACACCACCAAAACATAATGAATCATTGCTTCCAGATGATTTAACAAATGAAAAATTAGCTAACACTTTCTATGAAGAATGTATTTATAATGCATTATAAGGGTATTCTTAATGCATTATAATTCATGCATAATGCTTACAAACAACCTTATAATATGTTGTACCATCTGATAAATAATTATAACAATGTAAAGTTTTAGCTCCAAAGAAGACAAAGATGTCCAAGAAGTACAAATAACAATTGTATTTATTAAATAAAACAAACTAGAGAAGAACAAACATAACAGCGTGTCAGACATAACATAGTTGTGACATAACGCCCCCTCCGGGACGATGTGACCTTGCGCCGCAAGAGATGATACAAGGGAGGGAAGGTGGGGGCTTTAGAGGTGGATGAGGAGCAGGTGAAGGCCTGTAAGAGGGCAGACATATAGGCAGGAGAGACCAGGGTGGCGATGATGGAGGTAGCATCCATGGTGGAGATGATGGTAGGAGTGGTCAGTTGTTGGTGACCCAGAGAACAGCTAGGATGAAAGCCCACGGCGGAGTCGATGGAGGGAGGAGCCATGATGGTGACTTTGTAGGCGACATCCGGGGTACGACCGCTGGAGATGGAGCCATTCAAAGTGGAGCCCAGGGTGCAGACGGAGAGCAGATGGAACTGTGCGACACCGATGGCACTGGAGACCTAGACGGAGTCGAGGAGGAACCCGAGTGCCCGAAGACTGAGGGCCGAGCCCGCTGGAGCCGAAGGGGTGGAGAGACGGAGCACAGTGGATGGCTCGTAAGTCCGTGGTGCAGGCAGGGTAACGGCTGACTGAGGTGGAGTTTTTAGTGTCCAACTCCACCAAATCACCCACTGTTACGTAGGGTTGGGTATCGTTTGGGTTTTATCCGATTCCAGTACCTACTCGGTATTTTTTAAACGGTTCCGGTGCTTAAACGGTTCTTAAATCGGTACTTAAGAAAATGAAACCGCACACACTTTATAAAAAAATAATACCCTTTAATTTACAGGGCCAAACTGGACACAATATTAACTTAAATCTTTAAACAATATAAATACAAGTAACATATGGTAATAATAAAACCAATATAAAATAAAAAATCATATTTACATAATATCAAATGAAACAATATTGTATCAAACAATGTAATAATACTGGAGATTAATAGAGATTACTAGCAGGCAGAGCTGCCAACTCTCACGCATTGACCGTGAGACTCACGCAAATGACCCTTTTCACACAGAAAAATCGCGGACAAAGAGGACACGGACAGACAAGACAGAGGAGGTTACTTTTGATATGGAACAAATCCACAGCTGTCAGATTCTGTCAATATTTTTATAACGTTTAACGTTTTGGCTCTTTGAAATGTGACAGATCGCTGTAGCGCGTCAGTTCAAACGGCACGTGATACAGCAGCCTACAAATCCACTGCTTCTTAGCTACGCAGCGTTGAGTGAACCTATGAAAGAGAACATCTCTGGTTACTGGTGTAACATATCTCTCAATAGGGAACGAGACGCTGCCAAGCTCCTCGCGCTGCCGACCAGCTTCCTTTTTCAGCAAAGAAATCTGAGGAGCAGATGGCGCGCGCGCGCCAACATAGTATGACGACGTAAGTGCGTCGATGCGGCGCCCGCGCCATCAGCCAATGAATTGGCTTGATTCTATATGGGATTCAGACTATCGGCACACCCAGAGGGCGTTCTGACACGTAATTTTACACGTGAAATGCAGCCAAACCTTGCGAGAAAGAGCGCGCTTGCGAGACAGAAGAGACTGTGCTCCAAACTGTGTAGCACACGCACGGCGGAGAGAGAGAGAGCGAGAGACCTTGTGTGTGTGCGTGTGTGCCTAATGAAGTTAGGCACCGAAATCAGGCACCGAAATTTTCGTTCTTATTCGGTCTGGTTACTACCGTTTACGTCGGAACCGGTTCCCTATTGGCACCGAGTTTCGGTACCCAACCCTACTGTTACGACTGTTGCCGGCTCACACACCTGGTCAGACTCACTGCTGGGCTTCGGCTCCGAAGCGATGGTCGGCGCTGTAATCCTCACAGGCTCCGTCGTAACGGTGGGCGGAAGCTCCTGTCTGCAGTGGGCTCTGGTGTCATTTCCGTGTCGTGGGGTGATGGTTGGCTGGGCTCTGGGTCTGATGACGTGGACTCTGGTGTGGATAGTCCCATCATCGAAGGCCGTATCGTGTGCGAGGGTGGAGAAATGGATGGAATATTTAACAAATGAAAGTCCTTTCCTGGCTAGGGCAGTGAATGCAACAGCATAATACATTCTGTGTCCGGTATTCTGTAACGTTTTAGCTCCAAAGAAGTACAAATAACAATGGGATTTATTGAATAAAAACAACTAGAGAAGAACAAACGAGATGATTCGTTCAAACAGAACAATCTAGGACCATAAATGAAGTGGGCGCCAACCAGTCTGAACTAACTAAACTTAAAAGTTAAAACAGAAAACACGTAATTTGGTATAAAAAAAAAAAGGAATTTAAAAAAAAAAAAAAAGCAGGCTATTTCATAGGGCCCTAAACATGTAATTTTTTAAAAAACTTTTGATAAATTATTGTTAAATTGTATAGGTTTCATGATTTCAATTAGGGTTGTTAACGATTAATCGATTATCGATTAATTGTCAATAATACATTTAATTGATAAAACTGCGAAACATGTAAAGCAGACACAAGGAACAATTTGCAAGCGTGCCGGAGTTATTTTTGGGACCATTTTACAGCTAGAGTTACACCTTCATCATGACTATAAGTTTGCGTGTGCATTCACAGCCTTTTCTTTTGTGCAAATGTAAGTTGTAATATTGTGTTTAATTTGTGTAAGTCTGATTTATCTCATATATGATGCATTTGGTTAAGAATTAACAATACACGGTATCATTGAATTATGTCGAATTGCCATTTAGCAGTTCGTGTTTCTCGCTCGTTCTCGCTTCTCACGAGACTTCTATTTCCAACTTGCCGGGACGTTAGTCCCCATGTTGCAAGGTTGGTTTTCCGCCTGGGGACGCTGGGGGGAGCGGGGAAAGTCACCATTCTCTCCAGAACAGGTTATTGAACCATTCAAATGATTTCTAAACGGTTTTATTAAGTTGAAATAGCTGCCAAGTGCCCCTTTAAAATATCGCTTACCCCACCTTTGTTACGATTTGCGTGGAAGCAAAGGCAGTAGGCGGATCTAAATGCAGCAATAGACTTTAATGATATACAGACTCAGAACAGAAACTCGTGGTACGCACATTCAAACATACATTTAATAACTGACCATGAACAAAAGAGAAGACAGGATTTAAATACACAGACGGGATCAGGGAACAAGACACAGCTGGGGCAAATCAGAACAACGAGCAGGACCATACAACCTAACAAGACAACACACCTGAAACAAGGGACCTAATAATGACATGACTGGAGATAACAGAATACAATGAACAAGGCAGAGAAACGAGGTACAAACTGAATGAAAAAACCAAAGCCAGTGAACCACAAACCAGAAACATGACAAAAATAACCAACACAGTAACATTATCCCCCCCTTCCATAAGGCGTGTCCCCGCGCCGAATAAACATCAAATAGGGGCGGGAGGGTGGGCGCCCTGGAGGCTGACGAGGGCGTGGCTTGCCCGGAACAGGAGGCCTCCAGGGCGGAGCAGGACGAGACGAAGGCCAGGGCGGAGCAGGACGGGGCGAAGGCCAGGGCGGAGCAGGACGAGGCGAAGGCCAGGGTGGAGCAGGACGGGGCGAAGGCCAGGGTGGAGCATGGCGTGGCAAAGGCCAGGGTGGAGCATGGCGTGGCAAAGGCCAGGGTGGAGCATGGCGTGGGAAAGGCCAGGGCGGAGCAGGACGAGATGGTGGCCAGGTCGGAGCAGACTCAGACGAGGATGAGGACCATGTCGACGTCGTCTCCATGGCCCTCACGGAGTACCTTCTGCCCCCCCCCCAAAAAATACTTGGGGAAATCCTCGGGAGGAACCTCCAGGTGGTAAATGGGTTCCGGGCAGGCCTCCCGGAGCCTGAAGGGCGCAGGCAGGACGAGGCGCAGAGGCGGGGGCCGGCAGGGCGAGGCGCAGAGGCGGGACCGGCA